CAGTAAATCAAATCGAGTGCGCCACTCTGTAATTTAGACCACTTCACCTAGTGTACTTATGACTCTTAACGTCATACATCATTCACCCTCGTTTTCGATCTCGGGAAGTTATTTTTGGATACTTTTGAAAATGTGCAAGTTAATTGGGAAGAATTTGATTTGATTTTTTTGAATATTTGAAGCTCTCACGTTCGAGCAACATTATCTGCACCATCGTTAGCAGGGCGCCGTGCAGCTGGAGGCCCAGCTCAAAATCAAGTACTTTATCTTCAGTTCGTCCTCTTATCTCGTATTCTGACTAGAGTTCATCATACATCACAGCAGAATGTGTCTAGCCAATCATTTATTTCTTACAATCTTGCATTACAATTGTTAGACCTTTTGAGTTAGGCTTCTTATTTTGCCTTCTATCATACTTGGGGCTCGGACCCATTTGGTTCTCAGTCTGTGTTGTCGGAAGCGTCTGTGGAAGTAGAATGCGACGTGATAAGAAGTTTGCAACCAACAGGTTCAACATCGCCTAGGAAATATCGCTGCCAATAATCTAGCTGAACACCTAAACGAAGACAGTGAATCGATCTGTCCTCCTGAAGTTACTTTGAAGCTGTAACCGTACAGTTTAGGCTGCAGCCCATGTGTCCCATTCTCTGATTCCATGTCTGCGAACAAGATAATTGCTCCGGAATATGGTGAATGCGTCCTTTTTTCGTGCGAATGAACTGAAATTTTTTTTTGAAACTGTAATCCCGCATTCATCAGGTGGAATAGCAGAGTATTGTCAAATAGTAGAATTGGTGAGAAGTATGAGACTGTTTAAGCTTGGCTTAAGGCCTCAAACTGACTCGGCCAAAAAGGTTGACCTTCATAGATTCAGTTTACTGGGTCGGAACTCTAACAGACGCGACATAAGCCCCTTCTGCCTCCTCCATCCGATTTCCATTGCTCGTTGTTTGCAGTAGCCTATATCCTTCCAAGCCGGCCAGAGGTCTGCGATACGGCCCAGATTAGTTTTTCTCTACTCTCAACTCTATCTTTCGCTGTTCGAAATTCACTAGTATTGGGTCAGATTTGAGCCGTTGAATTGCACTTATTTACGTACTTCTAAATGATAAGTAATTGCCGTTTTTGCGTTTGCTGTGATTTCTTTAATTGGACATTAGTTACCGACAATTCAGGATGAATGCCGCCAATCCGTGGGAAGTATCGGTGGCCGAGTATCAAGCAAACAGTGTTCAGTTTGCTTCGTTGTATCCTCAAAACGGCCGTATTGACGGAAACACAGCACGAAATGTTTTAATGAAGAGCAATCTACCACCGCAAATATTAGCACAGGTAGGCTCAATAGTGTTCGTCTCTATAGAAGAGAACTGTCAGTTGACGTTTCATGAAATTATCTTTCCTTTTAATGACTTCTATCGATTCGCACAAAAAGATTTAAGCTGGCGTTCCATCCATCAGCGAGCTCAGCTCTTGGAAAGAGTGTAGCATAGAAGAGCCATGTATTATTCACGAGAGCAATTAGTGCTGGCCTGGCCAGTGCACTCAGAAGAAGTGGCAGCAAATGAGTTTTTGTTTGTTGTTTCGGTTTTCTTTGAAAAACCCATAAATTGGCCAGGAATGGCGCAACATCAACAATTTACTTGCCTTGGTCATTCTATCGATTGCTACTAAATGAGTTAGACCTCGTTACGTTACGCTCGTTGGCCAAATAAGACGGCTAAGTCTCAGGATCTTTGTATCCAGAGCCTAGAAGGGGTTTAGCAACAAGTGTTTGGAATAAAATTACGCAGAACGTGGACTTCTACCTAAAAGAAAATTCTTCTGGGGGTTATTTTTTGATTTGAAATTTTGAATAGAAAAGCAGTAGTTAAAATTTTAGTCCTCGCTTAGAAAATCTGCTTGTATTTAATTCTTGTTGTCTTCTCAACAATATTTTAAAGGACATAAATAACGACATAATCGTTGAAGTCCTCTAGTCTTCTTTGTCTTATATGTAGTAGAAATTCAGTAATCAGAGATGGGTAAAGCAGGCTTAGGCACGCGGCGTAGGGTTGCATGCGGCACCGTGGAAAGTGCTAGCATGACGGCAGTATCTAATCCAAGAAAATGCCTTAAAACATTTAAAGCCGCAGGAAATTTGTAAACGATTTGTGAGGTACCTCCGAAAATCTGCCTAATTTTGATGTCTATTGTTTGATTTTTGTGCAGACTCTACGCGTATGCCTGCGCGCTGCATTACGGTGATTGCTTACAATTGTGGGTAACTGAGGGTCAACCATCTATGTTCCAACTTCAAGAGTTTGGCGACCTCCCCCACGCCCTATCAGTGTCAGCTAGCGGGTGCCGCATTACGATACCCACCTCCCCAATCCTGACGATCACTCTGAGGCAGGAAATCATATGTGCAAAAAAAAGAATGCACTCCCTCTAATTGTACCTATTTCACATCTGTTTCATGAACTTTTCACCAGAATCGTCAAAAAAAGAAAAGACCAGATAGGGTCATTTTTTGACGGTTCTGGTGAAAAGTTCATGTGATCAAGAAAAGAAAAGGGGAGACCATGACCCTTCCACCTTTTTACAGCCACGGCACGATTGAATTCCACAAATACGACCCCTTCCCCTTCCAAAAATAACTTGAATAGCGACCACTAGTTGAAAACTGCACAAGCTATATTTGACCCTGATAAGAACAGAAGGATTACTTGTCTTCGACACAATTTTGGCATGCTACCAGTCCTTAGACAAGGTAGCAGTTATAAGAGTGAGGCGTGTCAGCTTTTAAATCAATGCATTAGCCTCCGATACGGCTTTGTGCCTAGTCCCCAGCACACCCGCCACATCAGCACTGATTTTTTTTTGGAAAAAACGTCCAGGAAGAGGTAAAAATGGATGCCTTATCCCTTGAACATGTTTTTACAAATGGTATAACTTTAAAGCGCAAAATGCAGCAGTTATATCGTATTATGTTGAGATCTGTTACCGGTATTTCGGTGGATGTCTGCCAAAGAAACGCCCAAAATTACAGTGTTCTTATGAATTAAAGGCTATAGGATAATGCAATGCTGAACAGAAGCGGTTTGTTCCGATTTCCGATTTCAACTAGTGCTTGGTCCAAAAAAAACTGATAGAGATGTTTATTGGGAAATTTCCGATTAGTCAAGCTGCAGATGGGGTGGGGACACTACGACAGAATGGGATTCCAATTGAAAATGAAATTGAATTTTTTTCTGTGGAAGTGAATGGAAGGCTTAATTAATAGAGTATGGTAATGAACTGCACCGAATGTCTTTGTTATTTTCTCCCATAGAATAAATGAGAAGATTAGGTGAACTTTTTGCAGCCTTGGGGCGCGGGGAAAGCTTCCAGAAACAACTTCCTGAAATTCAATTGTCCGTTTTCTCTTGGAAAAAGTTTGGATCTAAATTAATTTCATAAAATATTCTAGCAGTTCTCAGACGCTCTTTTGAGGATTCCCGAGTCGCGAATAATGAAAAACCTAACGCTCATGAAATTCTCAACGCACACTAGACAATTCTTCTGTTGAAACCCTTGAATTTCCCATCATTGGCCGCGCTTGCTGATGAGTTTCGTATTTTTTATTAGAATGGTAAAGGATTGCACATTTGCGGAAAATTTTCTTTCTGAGACACGCCATGCGCTCCATTTCCTTTCAGAATCGTTATGGCATTTGAAGGCGTTCTGTCTTACAAAGTGACTTGTGAGGGCCAGCTGATTTACAAGGAAGTGTTTCTTTGGTTTTCTGGAGAATTCGGCAGGCAATAAGTCTGCAATGTCGCGATGCGCAAGTTTCGGGGTCAGCTTGCCCATCCTTTTACTGTCTAAAACTGCATCGAATAGAAGACGTATACCCATTCACGTGGCACTTGAAAAGGAGGATCTATGAAAACTCCTTCCCTGAGTTCTCATAAGATCTTGTGTGTGCTAGCTGAGAGTACAAAATTCGCAGTACTTTCTCTTTTTTTTTTAAAATTTTTTCATGCTTCGCAAAAGCTCTTTCTCGTTCCTGCAAAGATACACTGTTTCGAAAAAACGCTTCTTGAGGTCCCAAATTTTGATTCCCACATAATGGGTTTTTGGTTCAGTCTGGTATCATTTGAAAGGTATTGATGGATAGGCTCCATTGAGCAAAACAGCGAACGGTAGTGGTCGGGAGTCACAGTCAAAACGTCGTAGGAATCGGCCCCTTATGGCAATTCCTGTTTTACTTTCCTGCCCAACAGTGTACAGCTACAGTACTGGTTAAAGCGCCGTGTTCTGCTGTTTTTATCGAAGAGCAAGACAGAAAACGCGATAAGGGCTCGATCCTTCTACATCTTGCCTGTGAGTCCCGACCACTACACCATTGCGCTGTTTTGCTTCATACTTTCGTTAGAAAGTTGTTCAGCAGATAAGGAAGGTGGATTGGCATCAGCGTTCAAAATAACATCTAGGCGTATGCATATCTTCTTGAATCGCCATGCGCGACCTAAGGATCCTTTCCGTGTAGGCAAGAATCGGTTGGCCTGTACTAACAAGGGAAAGGATGGTAGGTCGAAGTGGCCGTTTGAAATGAGATGTATACCACCTGATGCGTCTCCAGACGCTGATTCCAAATCTGCCTTCCAAATCTGCTAAACGACTCTCCGAACGGAGTTATGAAGCGTAATAGCTCAGTGGTGATGGTCCGGGGTGGCAGGTAAAAGCTCGTAGGATCGGTTCCTTTGCAAATTGGTTGCTTTGCTTTTGTCTCTAGAAGTGTTGCGGACAAAAGCAAAGCAACAAACTTGCAAAGGAACCGATCCTACGAGCTTTTACCTGCCACCCCGGACCATCACCACTGAGCTATTACGCTTCATAACTCCGTTCGGAGAGTCGTTTAGCAGATTTGGAAGGCAGATTTGGAATCAGCGTCTGGAGACGCATCAGGTGGTATACATCTCATTTTAAACGGCCACTTCGACCTACCATCCTTCCCTTGTAAGCACCCCCCCCCCATTGCGAATAGTGGCTTACAGCGCCTCTTTATCATTACCACTGTTTTAAAATTTTTTATATTGTATAGTATTGAATTCTACTTTAGTTATATTGTTCCTTTTCAGATATGGGCACTAGCGGACACGAATCGGGACGGTATGCTTGACGTTCGAGAATTCTCCATAGCTATGCGGTTGACACGAAATTGCCTCGCCGGTCTTCCATTACCTCCCACTCTACCTCCATCTTTGATGCAAGTGCCAGTCGGAAGTGGTCCACCACAAGTGCAACCGCACATGAATGCGATGCCACATCCGAATGCTGTGTATACACCAGGTTAGACAGAATGTCTTCTGGCTCGAATTTTGCAACGGCGACAAAATTCAAGTGGATCTGCTTTGAAATTTCGCATCCATGTGTAGATGTGAAATGGAGCTTCTTCCTCATGAATTAAACTGGAAGATATGCGGGAATGAATAATTCAGAGGAAATGTGGCTGTTGCTCCCGAGAGGGTGCGGAGTAATGTTTGGATTGGCTTCGACAAAAATCAAAAGGGCATTTGCCTTTGATCGATCCGTTTTTTGTGATATTTTGGATACGCAGCGCCCTCTATTCCTTTCGGATCGTAAGTGGCATTGGAAACACGCAACCTAACTCTAACGTATCCCTTGTTGATCAGCCGGATATAGAAGTTATCATTTTTTCCTCACCACGACGTGTCAGGTAAGCAAAAAAAGCCGACATGACAGGTCGAAAACTGGCTGGTTGGTTGATAGATCCTTGTGGAAATTCGCTCGGCACATCGGCCAGACGCTGATCGACATCCGCTCGCCATAACACTACTTCTTTTCTCTCGAAAATTATGGAATCAAAATTCTTAGCTTCAAAAGCGAAACCAAGAGGTGAAGGGTTATTAGCACTGATGAATGATAATAATCGGATTCACTAATTTCAGTTGACATAGCCTTCTGTCTGTCGAAATTCGTAGGCGCGAGTGACTGATAAATCCGTGCTTTCACTACCGCCTAATATCGATGCGGTCCGTTGAGCTTATAAGCAGAGCACGTATAGCTGTGGTCTATAAGGTAGCTGGGAAGCGAGACGACTTCGATTGGAAGAGACAGCGGAGAGCGAAGAGTGAGGGAGTGGTCCGTGGTGCGCGCAGGGACTTGGGAATGCAGTGAGAAAGAAGTTCAGGTGGGCTTTCGAAATTCGGAAATCATTAGGGGAGTATCACCAAAAATGCACCTATCACCTGGTTTCAAAGATTAAGCCTTCTTGAAGAAAGTCGAAGTCGCCATGCTAAGTTGCGTTCTCGTTCTTTGAGCTCCCTCCTCTCTTATGATTTTTAAAGTTCACAAATTCAATTCAAGTGGCGCCATTTACTGCGAATACATTGAAGAAATGACGTAGTAGGGTTTACCGCAAAGCCGGCCCGCTGATGTCGACATGAGAAAGTTTGTTTACTAAGACTTCCTCAAGGAAGATTTCGTGGAATAATTGAGAAATGAGGGGACCCAATTCTTTCGTAATTCAAAACTGGCTCAAGAAAGCGAACGAGTCAAACTGTTGGCAGTCCTGATCTCTGCGTTTGGTTCCTTGAGTCGTCGTGAATTTGCTAGCTATTCATATTAATGGCCATCTCGCGCTTTTACAACTGAGGCGCGATTGACCTATGCTCTTTTATCTTCTCGTTAAGGGGCTTGAGAGCCGTTCTTCTGACCAATAGTCTTCTTGAACCCATTTTTACTTGTAGCTAAGATGGAATAGATTGCTGCTTCTGCTGAAAAATCTGCTTGAAAGGAGGTTATTCGGTTTTGTACATACAGGGGTGGCCAAAAAAAAGAGACACTTAGCCCATGGCGCACATCATCGAACTTTTCGTCGCACAGGGAGCCGATGTTAATGAAAGTTTTACGGCGGAATATTCCTTAGGTGTTCCCCCGTAAACAGAAGCAGGCCCTCCTTCACTGCCCCCGCCGTCTTCAGAATATGACGTCATCTGCCGTCACCGTCGAGCTCAACGAGGCTTACCGTAATCGCTCCGACCTGAAGCTGCTACATAATTTCTTCAATGGATTAACTGTTGAATAGCTTCCCAGAGACATTAGCTGTGACTATGCAAAACCGCTTTTGACCAGCGTTTCAGAGACGTCGTAATCGTCTATGGTATCTCGACGACCTCGTTGAGCTCGTACCGTGCACAATGCTTCCGTGGGAAAATCTTCTGATGTCGTCGGTGTAGAAGGCTGTTGTGTAGCTTGTTGATAGATTATAACGTGCTCTTCAATATTCAGTTGGGTCTCATTTGATTTGGTTTCGCGACGCGTAAATAATTCCGTTTTGAATGTTGGAGGGAGAGTCCACCTGTTTTTTTGACTCCGCCACTGTATTTTGGCCCTATCTCTTCGCAGCATCCAAATCAAAGAAGAACCCAAAAAAGCAAAGTCCCAGTTCTCTCGTGGCGATTTCAGAGTCGAGACGAAAGCCATCTAATCATAGGGCCTTCTTCACGTTAGAATTTCCGCTCATTTTGTCACACCCCTTTAGCGGTGGCAGCAAGAACAGAACGATCTCTGATTGCATATTAATTACTTGAGCAAGCACAGAGATCTGGTAGTGCACCTGTTTTTATGGTGCCGAAGAAATTGGCCAGACAGTTCGAATTACAAGTTATACGGCCGTTTTGAGCTATAATCACATCAGCGTTTATTTGAGGGCCATATGCTACATATCCGATGGAGAGAAGAACGAAAATTGTCCAAATTTTCGTAGTCTCAACAACAAAATTATCTTAAGAAAGGGCCTATTTTTAAAGTGTTTGTGTAGGGTGAAGCCAAAATATGCTGAAAGTAAGAGAGATAATTCAAAAAAGTAAATGAGAAACTCGCAGTCACTCAGCGAGCCATGGAGAGGGCCATGTGCGGGGTAACGCTCCGAGACCGCATACCCAATGACACCATCCGCGCTCGTACGATGGTGAAGGACGTCGTCGATGCCATCTATAATTCCAAGCGGAGGTGGGCCGGTCATGTGGCTAGACTTACCGATGATCGCTGGACGAAGAGAGTGACTGACTGGTACCCAAGGGGAAAAACAAGGCCCAGAGGCAGACCCCCCACCAGATGGGCAGACCCTCTCGTGAAGATGTACGGCCAGTTGTGGCGCAGAAGAGCCCGAAGCAGAGCGACCTGGAAGATGTGCGACCTGCGTTTCTGGCGTGCCCGGGACGAATAGCGGTCGAGAAGTAAGAAGTAAGTAAGAAGTAAATTAAAAGCTGTTTCCATCTTCCATTCCCTGGGGAGGAATAGCGACCCATGCTTACATAACAACTTCATCCTTAAGTTCCTAGTAGGAAAGTAGGTCTTGTCTCAGCCCACAGCTTATCTAGGTCAGCACGGAACCTATTTATGGATTTTCGAGGAATTGCCTGGTTTTGCCTAGTGAATCGAATATTTTCCTAAACGAAAAGGTCATGCAAAGAAAGTGATTAATAATATGATTGAAATTTTGCTTTTTTCAAAACATTTGTAAATACTAACAGCAGTGCTGACTGGCTGTGTGCAACCATAATTACTTGCGTGGAGAACTCGACTGTGGTCAGTGTTTATCGGCTCATTTAGTCGGCTGTGATTTCAGGAAATTGAGGAGGGAGCAGGTGAAGATAAATGCTTCTTATAATCGTTTCGCAGCTCATAGTTTCACATGGGTCATTGGATACCACTAGTTTCAATCATACTGTGTTAACTAAAATGGCTATTGCTCTCTGAGGACTTTTTATGAGAAAGTGATGCGAATGCTCTCAATTAGCGGGTCCAAAGAAGCCAAATTTCATTTCAATGGACTGTTGAACATATAATGAAATCATTTATTTAGTATATCATTGAAGTTTGAAAGGGTATTGATTTGCTCCACAAGAGGCCAAGTTATTGACACCTTATTCGGCAAATGTGTAGATATGAATGTTTGTGTTGTTGATTATTTGCTAAACAAATGTCATTCAGAGGCACCGAAGATCCCTTATGGTATGTCGCCGATGCAGCCGGTACCACCGGCATTTCCTGTGTATCACACGGCTCCACCAGGAATGGTGACGAGAAGGATGTCACAGCCTCTGAATGGCGGAAGTGTACCAAATGTGACACAGGGAAAACAATGTGGCAATTGGACCATTCCACATCAAGCGAAGCTCCGATATAGTCAGCAGTTTAATCAGCAGGACAAGGTAAAAAAATTTATTGATTTTTTCATGCCAATGCTAGAGTAGAGTGCAACTCTATTTGCTAACTTTACACGGGGTTGTTAATGCAGTCGATCAGTTAGCTTCTTGGCGGATTCACCTCTTTTCGAAACTTGTAGGGACAAAAACCGAGTCATGATCTACGCGGTCAAATATCTCGCAGCCCTAGGAAAGCTTCAAGCTTCACGTAATTAGCAGGCGGAAAAAGAGCCGTAGTTATCGATTCAGGGACTCGAAGTAGGGTTGAAAGGATCCGATCATGTCTTCCTTTGTCAAGTGTCGTTGGTAAAGGGTGTCGTTAATTTGGATATCAGCCACCCTCGGGATGAAACGATGAAGCGCTCCTATCACATTATATCACAAAGTGTTAGGACATCTTTTGAAGAGCATGTGAGACGCGTATTCTCTCGTTGCTTCTGCATTATGGCATGGAATGCAGCTGTATCAGGTTACATTGGTTGCAGGCATGGATGTATTCCCATGGAATGCCCTGCAGAGGGGTTATGCTCGCTGTTTAACGTTTAGCAACTAGAGTTTGAAGGCTTCTTGGTTTATATAATTATTGAAAATAAAAATAAGAAGGCCAAATAAGTCGTTGACGGTAATCACTGATCTCCCTTTTGGAATTGCCACCCATTAGATTCGAGGTCAGCAAGTACGCCGGGGAATTCTTAGGGCCAGCACACGACCCCTCTTCCTTGGAGGGCGACCTGACTGTTGCAATTATTCGATCCTTCTTCTATGTAAATCTTGAGCCAACTCCAGATTTTCTTCCGCTCTATTTATATGCAGATCTTAAAAAGCGAGAAATTACGATAAAATTTCTGTGCAGCATGGAAGAACGAGCAGCACTTCAAGCAGTAGCTAGAGCCCAAAGGAATCGAGATGTGGCCTTTTTGTGACTAAAGGTGCGCTCGTTGCAGCGCCCTGGGGCTGCCAATCCTTTCTGAGCTCCGCCTCCGCCTGTGCTCCGCCCCTCAGCAGATCGCTGTTCGATTATCATTCTGATAAGGTATGCCACTTCGAGCGCGTATCCAATTTTTTTCTCATGGAATGCTATATCAATCAAGGTATGATCTCTGGTGGTATGATGGCAGCTATGGTTTAACGAGTGCCGACGACCTCTTAGTTGGTTGCCAACTCGTCCATTATCGGAGGTCAACGGGCAGAGAAGTGGTCCCATTTTGCGCGTTTTTGACGGATTTCTTTGCTTTTCGTATAGGGCATTCTTAGCGCATCTATCAACCTTCCACTCTGAATCAACTAGAAATCTCCATCGCATATCTCTCGCTTTGAAGGGATGTACAGGTTGGGCGATTTGGCGTTAGTGTTCTTTGTCGTATCAAACCTTTGGAAACCCTCTAATTCGTTGTTGAAGGTAGTGTGTAGTCGTTTTTGAGGACCATTAACATCCAGATTCCCCTGTGCTTGTGAATAAGAAGCGCAATTTTTTTTCAAATGTAGCCATGAAGTCAGTTGCCTATCAGACAGATCACTTTTTTTCGCCCGCTTGTCGTAAATTTTTCGACTAGAAGGGTTTGGAGCGGTAGCTTACGATGCATAAGCATTTGTAGTTGGAGCTGCTCCTTTGTTTATTGTATGGAGGATGATTCATAAAGTGTGGCTCTTCCATCGAATTTCGGTGTCGAATTTCAGCAACGTGTTGGGTTTCTCACGGGTCAAGCAGGTCGAAGTGCTCTCGGAATGAGCGGTCTACCGACAACAGCACTTGCTCATATATGGACGTTGTCGGATGTGAATAAAGACGGCAAGCTTACCGTCGACGAATTTTGCATCGCGATGCATCTCATAGACATGGTTAAAGTGAGATTTGAATTATATTCAGTTCAATTCCTCAGCTAGTTTTGCCACAGAATTGTCTCAACAAAAGTTTTTGCAGGCCGGTTACGCACTTCCCGATCAAACTCCTCCAGAATTGGTGCAGATGTGTGGTTTGTCACGATCAGCGAATAATAGTCCTCAATTGGAGCCTGGTGCTCCACCAGCACAGAAGAGTCCAGCTCCGAAGACTTTGAGGACAAGCGCATGGACAACTTTGCTCGCGGACAAGCGGAACTGGAGCGAAGGCGACAGTTGCTAATGGAGGAGGTTGGTTCAACTTCGAACGTTCAAGTGTGTAGGCTGAAAACTATGGGCACTATTTACCCTTTACTGCCCCACTCCTCAAGAACTGAGCCGGATTTTGATCGAAATTCGTCCATGACTAAGGATTTGGCTAGAAACTTGCTAGGGGTATTTCAACCCGTAGAACACGAATATCACATCTTTAGCGCGAAAACGCTTGGCGCCCGCGCCACAGGCGCCGGCGCTATCACAACAGTTTTGCGCGGGCGCCCGTAGCGCAGGCTACAGGCTCACTCGCAACGAACTAATGTGATATTCATGTTCTACGGGTCAAAGTACCTCTGAGACAAGTTTCCAGCGAATTTGGTGATCCGAGATGTTCTGGCGCATTTATCGCCGGCACTTGTGGCGCGGCGTTAGGCATTATCACGTTGGACGAATGTGATGTTCGTGTCCTGTGGGTTCAACTATCCTCGAGGGTAGCTTTCTAGCCAAGTGCTCAGCTATGGTAAAATTACGATAAAAATCCAGCTCAGTTTCGAAGTAGTGGGGCAGGGCAGTAAAGGGTAAATAGTGCCAACTATTCCATAGGTAGGAGCTGGAATGATAACTTTTGTCTCACTGTAGTTCATTTTCAAGGAAAATCGACGACGAGCTGAAGTTGAGAAAAGGGAACGAGAAGAAGCAGAAAGGAAGGAAAGAGAGCGGCTAGAAAAGGAAAGGCAACGTGAGCTGGAACGGCAAGCGGAATTAGGTACCCAATTTATTAGCGTTTTCTTATGACACCACATAATGATTTAAGGTTCATTTGAGCATATTACCATTTGTCTTAGGTTAGTTATGTAGTTGATTAGTTTGCTGCTCTTGCTGTAAGCACTGCGAAGTAAGGATTGTAATGTTGTCAAACTTTTGTTAGCTCTTGTGTGAAGAATCTGACAGCTAAGTGCTGCCTGAACACGATGGGCTTCTATTGATTGTTTCAAATGACTAATTCGTTGCATATTTCATTAACACTGAACACAGTCCTGCTCCATTAGTGTTGTGAATTTCCTAATGCTCTATGCACACTGACTTTTTAAGAACGTATGCGACAATTAGAAGAAGCACGACTTGAGCAAGAGATGAAGCGCCAAGCAGAGCGTGAAGCGGCTCGAAAAGAAGCTGGAGCGTCAGAGACAGATTGAGGCGGAAAAGATGCGATTGAAGGAAATGCAGGTGAGCGGATATTTCAAGCTTTGTTCGGGATTTCGGAGTTGTGCTTAACAACCAAACATAAGTTTGTTGTAAGTAGTTGTCGTCTCCATTGTTAGTTACTATTGTTAGACTATTTAGGTCGTCTCATTATTAGCGATCGAAGATATTTTTGAAATTGTACTCATTTAGAATCAAAAACAACGTGAAGCCGAGCTGACTGCGCAGCGTCAACAGCGCCAGAAAACGTTGACGTTTCAGCTTCAGGCGCTCAGTGAAAAAGCTGTGGACACGGATTCGAACGTGACAAAGGTGTGATCTTGTAATTAAAGGATACAAAACTATGTACATGAGGCTCACAAGGAAAGGCTCCCAGGTCGCCATGGCCATTCAAGAAGAGATGTATACCATTAGATGTGCCTTTGAACGCTGATCTCAAATCTACCTTCCAAATCTGCTAAACGATTCTCTGAATGGAGTTATGAAGCAAAACAGCGCAACGGTAGTGGTCGGGACTCACAGTCAAAACGTCGTAGGATCGGTCCCTATCGTGTTTACTGTTTTCCATTCTTCAGGAATACAGCTAAACGGCTTTTAATAGCCTATTAACTGAATTCCTGAAGAATGCAAAACAGTAATTGAGGAGGGATCATGTTCCTTTAACCCTTTCGGACCTGAATTTTTCCCCGTGGAGAAATTTTTCTTCTAGCTATTGTTTATTACTTGTGAGCATATAGGTATCATTATGGCGAATTTGGAAGCTATTCGATCACAAACAAAGAAACTAAGAAGCTTTGAAAATTGGCCCACCTTCTTAGTTTTTAAGCTTATGTCGAAACAATTCGAAATTTCATAGTTATGCCGAAAAAGTTTATAATCTTGCATAACATTATAACCCATAATTTTGATTTAGGAATGGATCTACTTCAAGTATTTTAAGAAAAAGTCACACTTACTTGGCCGGTTGCGGGGGTCAGCGCCCATCCATTGTTGCACTTGTACACAAATACTTGTAATACTAACAGCAACACACAATGAAATGGCAGGTTTAGCTCATAATTAGGAAGGGGAAGGTTGACTGAAGCAACTCTAGCAGGATTAGAAAAACCATGCTGTTTCAGCGGCAATGCAAGCGTTTGAATTTGGTGGTGGCAATTGCCACCGCCAGGGCCGAAAGGGTTAAGTTGGATATCAATTCTACTACCAATTTAACTAAACGATTCTCTGAATGGAGTTAATGGAGCAAAATAGCGCAACGGGAGTGGTCGGGACTCACAGTCAAAATGTCGTAGGATCAGTCCCTATCGTGTTTACTGTTTTCCATTCTTGCAGAAATATAGCTAAACGGGCTTTATAAAAGTCTATATAACTGAATTCCTGAAATGCAAAACTGTACTTACATAAGGGACCGATCCTACGATTTTGACTGTGAGTCTCGACACTACCGTTGCGCTGTTTTTCTTCATAACTCCATTCAGAGAATCGTTTAGCAGATTTGGAAGGTAGGTTTGAGATCAGCGTTCGAAGGCACATCTATTGGTATCTTCTTGAATGGCCATGGTTTACGGACTACTTGATTTTTCCTCAATGGTCCTGCCGCGATGGCTAGAGCACAGACGATTAGAGAACGGGTGAATGCCCTAGGACTAAGCCTTGGAGAGGAGAGGGACCCGCGAGAGAGCGCAGAGGCGGTTTAAAGGGCTGAGTTCAAGTAGTCCGTCAACCATGGCCATGGCGACCTGGGAGCCTCTCCGACTGAAGCGCACCAGAAAGAGTGAATATTTGTGTTTTTTTTTTGTAACGGAGTATGAGTTGAGTGAAGAGAAGGTAGAGTGACTCTAGTTAAAGAACCGTTTTGAATAGTCACGACTTCTCTGTCACGGATACGTTTTCAAGCATTTCTGCGAGTGAAAGTAGTGTGAAACCCAGTGAAGTGGATGTGAGATCGTGCAAAAGTGCTACTCTTGGTGGTACATTTGTCCTGATGAGCGAAGTAGCTGGGATACGTTCCTTGTTACCTAGTAGTTTGCCCATTTGTGTTTTGAAACGTTTTACGCTTAGTTGTTCGATTCAGTTCTGCTAGTAAGCGAGGGATGCGTTGTATGGGAAGGCTCGCTCACTTTGAGGGTATGAGAGATCAGCGTGACGAGAAGATGCGTCGCATCGCAGAGTTACAATCGAATAATCAACAGGTGGGCTGTTTCATTGCATAATTATATTAAATTTTCGAGAGTAAACTTTGAACTCAGTTTCGGATGTTAGTATTGAAAAACGTTTCTTCCAGTGATGTGTTTTTTTTTCGGGCTATGTTGCCCTCTATTCACTTCCATTTATTTCTTTTTCGTTACGGAATCATTTAGAATAGACTTGCATTATTCATTAGCTTTGCACGTCATAGAAGTGGTTTGCAAAGCAAAAACATGGGAGCATTCAGAATTGGCATAAACGAATTTCCACATTAACGTATTCATTTTTTTAGCTCAGTGTCCAAGCGCAGGAGTTAGCACATCAACTCCTGCAGCTGCAAAGCGCGAACAAAGAAACGGTTGCAAGAAAAGCCGAACTGGAGGAGCTACGAAAGCGAAGAGATGCTGCCAAAGTAGTTGTCGCTGAAACAGCCGCGCAGCTGGAGACGACACGTTCAAGGACTGGCTACACAAATGGCAGAAGCTGATAAGGTAAGGTTTTCGAGTTTGCTGTCGGACTTTTTCAATAGCATTGGTGAATTGAATACGATATAGTTCTTTTTTCATTCGTTCAATACTTCTATTCGGAAAGAAGAAGTAAAGCTTTCATGTGCTAAGGAAAGCTGTTCACACTGCTCGATCCTTTTTCTTCTTTTTACATCCTTTGCTTCTACATGGAAATTCAATATGGATTTCTCAATCTACTTTCAGTTCACTTTGCTATGAACCCTAAAGAGCTGCAATCTTCAATCCATAACGTTTACTTTTGACTTCGTTTTTCATGGCGCTAAATTTGACCAAGTCTCAGATACTGTAGCTAAAATGTTCAACTAGGAGCGCTTGCATATTCGCAGATCATGTTTTATTTTTTATCCTTTAGCCGATT